ATGTTGTCTTGCATTAAAATAGACAAATTTAATTAGCCTATTCTATTTATGTTTGTATGTGAACTCGAAATCAACCACAACTTTGCTTTAAAAAGCATCACAAGATCTCCTAACCGAAGATCACATGATCTTCAAGTGATTTATTATTATTATTATTATTATTATTATTAGGGCTTCATGTTAATGTTCATTTAATGTTTATGCAAAAATAAAAGTGCATATAGCTGCCAATTGTATTAGTTGTTTGTTGATTTTCAAATATAAAACTTATTGAAATGTTTTCAGTGTGTGTATCAGTTCTTTTTGAACGTTTTCATCTAATTTGAACAAAACCGTGATAATATTTATAATCGTGATAACTTTGGTCACTATAATCGTGATATGAAATTTTCATACTGTTACATCCCTAGTTACAACACTGCTCTAGCACACCTGTCTGTGATTATCAAGTAGCCATGAACACATTGATTAGTTGCTTCAGGTGTGTTTGATTGGAGTTAGAGATGAAATCTGCAGGACAGTAGCTCTTCAGAAGCAGGGTTGGAGACCCCTGATCTAACATCTCCCATCCAGTATACACCAAGATAACATCACAAGTCTCTGATTTATGAACCGCAACAAGATTTTAATCGCTAATACTTTGTTTCTCTGATAGGTCGTTGTCTCCATTCTATGGAAAAAGTGGGCAAGATGTGGGGTAACCTCAGGAGTCGATGCCAAGCCCTCTTCCACAACGATGGCTCAGAGTCCCATCTGTGTAGCCAGGATTTAGATTGCGTCCACTGTGTGGTGGACTTGGGCAGGGGAGCACATGCAGAACTCTATGAAACTAGGTCTTTCACACCCTCGCAGACCTTGTCACCACTCCCACTGGTTCCTGTAGGACGCAGAGGCCATAACTGTGTGGCAGATATTCCCCAGATAGTAGAAATCTCCATTGACAAAGAGAGCGAGGATGCACGGAGGGGTCCCCATGTCCGTAGGGACTCCTACTCGCGTCATGCTCCCTGGGGAGGTAAAAAGAAGCATTCTTGCTCAACTAAAACACAAAGTTCACTTGAGGCTGACAGGCGAACGGGGCGCTCAAGAGGAAGTACAGCTAGGAGGGAGCGTCGCTATGGAGTTAGCTCTATCCAAGAGATTAATGATTCCGTAGGAGCTGGCAGCAGTGGGCGCAGCCTTAGCACCCGTTCTCTACGACAGCGACTTCGGGACACTGTAGGCTTGTGCCTTCCTCTCCCCACACAACGCCGCTCTCAGTCAGCCAAAGGCCAGGTGTCCTCCAAACGTAAGATCCACCTTACTGAACTCATGCTCGAAACGTGCCCTTTCCCACCCGGTTCAGATCTGGCCAACAAGTGGCACCTAATTAAGCAACATACGGCGCCAGTCAGCCCTCATTCCTCAACTGCTCTTTTGGATGCATTTGATTCAGCACATCCATCCCCTGAAGACGAAGAGGAGAGGCTGCGGGAACGCCGTAGACTTAGCATAGAGGAAGGAGTGGATCCCCCTCCAAATGCACAGATCCATACGCTGGAAGCAACTTCACAGAACTCTTCCCTCTATAAACTGGGACCAAAGATGGCTCCTGGTGTTGGGGAAGGACTTAGTGAGGGCAGAAGTCTGGGAACAATCTCCACTATTTCTGGGGGATTATCGGGACTTGCTGCACAGGTTGCAGCGAATATGGCAGTGCCATCCCACACTGTTGACTGTGACTCTGAGGAGGATTCAACTACTCTTTGCTTACAGACACGGAGGCCTAAGCAGAGGCATGCTTCTGGGGACACTCACTGCTCCAGACAGCCGGGGCCTTGGAAGGTCCACACGCAGATTGACTATATTCATTGTTTGGTGCCTGACCTACAGGCCATAACTGCACTTCCTTGTTATTGGGGGGTGATGGACCGGTATCAAGCAGAAGCACTGCTGGACGGACGACCAGAGGGCACCTTCCTGTTACGTGATTCTGCACAGGAGGACTACTTGTTTTCCGTTAGCTTTCGACGTTACAATCGTTCACTGCATGCACGCATTGAACAATGGAATCATAACTTTAGCTTTGATGCGCATGACCCCTGTGTCTTCCACTCTTCCACAGTAACAGGCCTGCTGGAGCATTATAAAGACCCCAGTGCCTGTATGTTCTTTGAGCCCCTGCTCACTGCTCCCTTACACCGGACTTTCCCTTTCAGCCTTCAGCACCTGGCACGAGCTGCCATCTGCAGACACACCACCTACGATGGCATTGGTGCCCTGCCACTGCCTCCAACCATGCAGGACTTCCTGAAGGAGTATCATTACAAACAGAAAGTCCGTGTGCGCTGGCTAGAGAGAGAGACACCACTCAAGGTCAAATAAGGTCTGGCTCTGCTCCCAAGAGAGGCAGGATTGTGGGCAAGAGCTTTGCCGCCAGAGGAGTATGTGGCTCATATTATCCATCATACTGTTGGCTTTAGATACACGGCAACAGAGGATGCTATGAACTTCCAGCTGTTTTTTTTTCCGGTTAATACTACACATGGAATCCATACATATGTTTCAGTGCAGTACATTCTGTCAAGCTAGCTTAACCGCTGAAGTGTCGAGCATGTTGGGAATGAGATGGTCTTATTCTCTGCTCTTTTCCTAAGACCTTATATCCTTTGGATCTCCACTAGCCTGCCCGCATGCCCCTTGCATTCTATCTTCTAGTGTTTTACACTATTTTGAGTAGTAAAACTGGGTGTTGTCACATTAACTAGCCTCATTTGTCAGGCAAATGGATCAACAGAAGCTTAGTCCAGTGATTAAAATATATTTAAGTAATCTTGGAAGTATTCATACCTGAATATCTTCTACTCTAAAAATGTGATGTTAAATATCTAGTCACGTAAACTATATGCCTATTTGCTAAGTCATGGCTAATGTATCAGCAATACCTTCAAGATACTTTACAGTGACCTCCTACAAGTGTCAAGTTCCCTGAGGCAGCACTTGTTAAGCCTTGTGTACATGGACAGGATCACAGTTATACACGCACCTCTCAGCACTAAGCATGCTTTATTTTTAAAATCGAGGCAGACAGAAGTGAAAGGCATGAATTAATTGCGGGGAGGAGGGAGCACAGTGCACCATGTGCCATATGATAGAGAGGACGGATTATTTAAAACTAGGCCCTCATGTAGTTTCATATCCCAGCATAATACTTGTTTTAAACAATCTATTTTACAATTTTCTATTTTTATCAGTGACAGTCTAAAATGACATATGGCACTTTAATTGTCGTTTGTGTACCGCACAATGACTTATAGACTCAAGTACATGCATATAAACAGATTGTATTGTTTGTCTGTGTGTTTTTATGGACCTTATTCATAGGATGTCAATTTATCCCCCATATTCTTCGCATGAGTCACCCGAAGTGTGTTAGTGTCAAGTGTCTCATACCTTGCCTGTGCATATGGTTTGTACTCTAGGCTAATATGGTTATATATGCAACAGCCGAAATTGGACAGAGAAAGTCCTCTGTAAAACTTGTATAGATACCTCAAAGATTTTCACTTTAGATATTGTTGGAAACCAGACAGATGCCATCACTGTGTATATATTTAATGTTTATTGGATTGATGTCCAGTAATGTTATAAAGTGTGATTTGTTCCACTTGATAATGTTGCACTTATATTCATTATGAAGCATGCAGCTATGCTTCTTTCATCATAATTGTGTGCACTAGGGTTTGAGATTCCCTCGACACTGTAAAGATATAGTTTTGATGTGCTTGCACAAAAAAAAAATCAAAGTCAACAAAATCACGCTAATATGTTTAATATCAGATGTTCAGTATTGCAATGGTAGGCTTTCAAGGTCCAAGCAAATCTCAAACCATGCATAATATGTAAAACTGGTACAATTCGCAGTATTGGGTGTTTGATTATCAGCGACCAAAGGTGTGCATCTCTAGTTTGTTATTGTGAATAAGAAATCTTCCACCATGTCTTTAGATTTTTTTTATATTGAGCTCAATGACTTAATTATAGTGTCCGGTTTTCTAGCAGAGTAGCACCCATTTTGAAACCATTTATTTGAACTGCAATTAAATCCGCAATTAAACTCTTTCAAAATACACATCGTTGTCACTGAAAGGAAGTCATTTATTTTTTATTTATTTTATTTTTTTTAACTCCTATTTTTCCACTTGAATTACCTGAATAAATACGCAAAACAACCATCTTAAAATTTCTTCCACCCTGCACACTGCATGCTCTGTATACAGGCTCACATTGTCAACTGTGTAGTGGTACACGTCAGATGATGTCATCTGCTTTCAAGACTTCAGAGAATAATATGCCTTTCATTGAATTTACAGACAAAATTGGAGCGCTTGGTCACAGCAGGCAGTTTCATGACCTCTTCACGATCCATACATGCTGTAAAGAAAACTAGCCTGGTTTTAGTTGGTCTTCCTGGGTTTAGGCTGGGAGGCCAGATAGACCAATTGAAGACCAGCTTATTCTGGTTTAAGTTTATTTTATTTTAATAGTTAAATTTGACAACTATTATGTGTAGTCCATTTTTTGTGTTGTCAATGTTTTAAAAAAGTACCACGGTTTTTAAGATATGGTAACATAGTATTTCCATGGGATTTGGACATGTTCCATCATAGTGCCATGTTTTTAGAACATGTACCGTGGTACTTCTATGATATCACTGTAACCTGGTACCACCGTACGTTTTTGTAAAGAAATGCACATAATGCTAACCCGAGGAAATGTTTCCACTATAGCAAAATCTCAACGATGCTGAAGGCATTCAGCAGAAATTCGTAAAGCTCTTTCCCGTTTCAGGAACGAGTTCAGATGATTTAAGCCGCTGCATTTATGACAGAAAGCTTCATTTTCAAGGGTGTTGGTTCGAGGGCTGTTAAACGCTTAGTGATAGCCTGGTCCTCACCAAATCCTTTGGATTTTTTTTAAACCCTGAGGCATAGTCATGCAGTCATTTGGGACTTTGTATGCCACTGCACAGTGAGTGAGTCTCTCCTGGCAGTGTTAGACCCTGCCCTGCCTTACAGGCACTAATCACAGGCTACATTTAATGTGCTAGCCTCTAAATGTACCACCTGCTAAAAGGACCACTCTGTGTTTCATGATGGGTACTATGAAAATAGACAAGAGAGGGACTTTTTGCTCAAATTTTTCCTCTTCCTCTCCGATCTGACCACATCCTCAGCATCACCCTCTTTCTTGGATATGTAGTGCTGAAAGCAGTGAGCGTGTTTGTCTAGTCTGGATACTAGCTAAAGTTAGCATTAGCAAGAAACTAACACACACAGTGCTCCATTGAGGAACATTGAGTGCTGCGAGGAATGGGGCTGTGTTTGAATACGCAGTTGTTATTTAGTTAATAGTTTAGAAAAAGTATTACGAGGGAAGTAACACACCAAACTAATCCAACACAGTGTTCTCCAGTAACTCAGGCCTGGTTTATTGCATTTAAAATAGTGCAAATAAAATAGTAACGGTGGGACTGCAGAAGTCATGATACACACACAGTGCTCCATTGAGGAACATTGAGTGCTGCGAGGAATGGGGCTGTGTTTGAATACGCAGTTGTTATTTAGTTAATAGTTTAGAAAAAGTATTACGAGGGAAGTAACACACCAAACTAATCCAACACAGTGTTCTCCAGTAACTCAGGCCTGGTTTATTGCGTTTAAAATAGTGCAAATAAAATAGTAACGGTGGGACTGCAGAAGTCATGAAGATTACAGTGAGGAGTCTTGTTTTGAGACTTCTATGAACTGTGTCTTGTGCTTATGGCCTGGGGATGCTTTGTCCTTGTTTTCATGGTTAACAACTTGATCATTTTGAAACCTCTACTTAATTTGTCACTTTGTGATATTCTGTCCCAGGCTTACCATAAAGTCAACATTGACCCTAATGTATGTTACTGATCTTTTTGTGCACAGTTCATCAGTGCATGTCATTGTGAAGAAATAAAATACCTCTAAAACGATTCTCCATGTTGATGACATCACCAGGCCCTCTTATTTTTTAACTACTTCTCTTCAGACAAACATTAAACTATCCAAGCAATTCTGCTGAATGAAGTCACATCCTATATATATATTTTTTGCTTCATTCACATTTTGGAAGTAAAATGGTACGCAAAGGCGGTTTCGTATTGACTTCAGTAACAAAAATCTTATTCCATCATAACAGAAATTCACATGAGCTGAACTGAGTTTGGCCTGGAGGTCAGCGGTATTATTTGTCCTTTTGAAATGAAATATAAATAGCATCCAGGTTATCAGTTACACATTACCCACCCAAAGCTTCTGAATAATTGAATGTATCGTTTGGAGAAGAGGATTGAGCAGAAGAAGATAGGCCATTTATGTTTACTTTATTGAAAATGGCATGATTCCATGCTCAGACACTGCCGGACCATCAATGAAAACTGATCTTTGAAAACAACACTTTCTCGATTTCTGCTCTTTATAGCACGCTGTGAGCACAGATCGAGTTCTATCCGGCGGACTCGGTTTATTCTCATTTTCTACTCTTTGGTGAACGTGATATGGTCAATGGGGGTGAATGAAAAGCTAGTTACGAGTCTCTCATGCCAGACTCCGCTCGTGCTTTCCATAGACCGCATACCTCTCGCTCAAAACACATGCGTGAGCTTTTCTCATGCCTCATATCTCCGCACATCATCCATAAGCAGAGCAGAATGAGAGAGGGAGAAAAAGCCGCTGTCTCTTTTGCACTGGACTGCCTCCAAGTCTGTGGCGGCAAAGTGAACGCTGACCTCTCTCTCACCTTTCCCTGCCTAAATACACATGCACAGGCTCCCATCCATATTTCATACCAGAAATACATCCCCAGAGAATATTTTACACCCAGTGTGGAAGGCAGCCGTCAAGTCCAGGAGGTGAGGGCAGGGCCTAAATAAGCTTTGTGCACGCCAACCTGACCACCAGAGCCAAGAAAAACAGCCATCACTATCGTACTGTCATCTGGAGGAACGAGCCTTACTGTTCTGTTCGCCTACAGCGGATTAGCCACAAACTCGTGAAAATATGACGACTCTGCCATGTACTGGCGAGATTAAACTGCTTGAAATGGGAGGTGTACTTAAGTCCTTTTGGCACGGTTTTAGTCCTCACTTAACATGTCATATGCGCAACTGCCGCAGTCCCTCTGTCAACTCTGTGTGGAAAAACATGACCACATATATGGAGTATACAGTGTACAATTATTCATTAACACGCTCTCGTCATACATAAGTAAAGTGGTCACACCAGCTGCGACGTGTCTCAACAGTATAGTCGGGGTGAATTATATGGGGTTTCTGTCCTCTCTAATTAGGGAACCTCACCACAAAGGATGTGAAAACAAAGATTGGGGTCTTAAAAGTGTGTTATTTTTACATGTAATAATACATCTCAGTAACACCAAAAAGTTAGATAAGTAAAAAAGTTATGCGTTAATCGTTAACAGAACTTGCATTCATTTGCATGAAATTGAAATTCCACCTTTTTTAAATGCACCCTAATAATCTTATAGATTAAATTGTTTTTTTTTTAATAACTTCCGGTAAAACTTCTCTCTGGTGCAGGACTTCTCCAATCATTTAGTTTGCTTAAACCTCGCTTCGTTCTTAAAATTGTCTGCAAGCTTGCATTCAGATATTTCTCCATCCAATCACATTGATTAACATTTTATTTTCTTGACCCTACTTTTTTTCAATAAGCTGGTACACTCAGATATGTCACAATATGACAGAAATTATCTCTCACTACCGTTAGATCAAGATAAGTAATGAACAACAAATACTGACATTTTTCAAAAGCAAGTCCCACACAAAATATTTTTTAACACTGAATATTTTGAATCAGATTACAGAAGTAAAATGGGTCATGCTTTAGTTTGGGGATCAATTCTCACTATCAACTATTAATTATGGCTTTTTTTTCAATAAACTCCTAATTTGCTGCTTATTAATAGCTAGTAAGGTAGTAAAGTTTATAGGTATGATGTAGAATTAAGGAATCTAAAATATGGTCATGCAGAATTATGAATGCATTGATATAAGTTATTATAATATAACTTATATGCTTTATAAGTACTAATAAACAATCAATATGCTAGTAATATGCATGCTAATAAGAAGCTAGTTAATAGTGAGTATTGGTCCCTAAACTAAACTGTTACTGTAAAATGGCTTGTGAGCAGCATTTCACGTTGTCTTTAACGTTTAGTTGACTTTATTGCCTTTGGCAGACCCTTCCGCATCTGTTGCTTTTCAGTAATATTCAATACCTGCTTCTTTTCCAATTCAGTATTTCATCTTTTTCCAATTTTTCAACCTTTTGTCATTTTACACTCTTACCTGGCAAGTGAATGATATGATCTGCCATCGTTTGTTCCATTATCTCATTCTGCCATAACTCATACTGGATATGTCCTACCAAGGGTCTGTGTTTAATTTACCTCAAGCTGAATCATGCGAAAGTTTCCTCAAGCTGAATGTAATGTATAAAATAACCCCAGATCTTATCATCAAGATCAATATGCTTTGGATCATCAAAATGTCCTTCTCTAAGCATTTTTTAAAAATATTTTTCTCTCTCTATCCTCTTTTCACCACTACAGTTGTGTCCACCTTCTCACTGTAGTGCATTATTGTTGTTTGGCTGGCCTTACTGTCAACCCAAGGATTGGGGGGCTCTGGTCTCTCTCTCTCGTTGTCTTGCTTGCCTGCAAGGCTCAAACCAGTTCTGGAAAGTTTTCCTCAGTCTTAATCCTGGCATAGTTATTCCACTCTATGTACGTGTTTATGAAGTCCTGACAAAATCCTTCCTCTTCAGCCTCTCCCTCTCTCCTTCACTTCCCCTCTTTCTCCCTCTGGGGCTCCAACTTGCAGAGATTTAATTTCAACTCTCCTGTCGAAAGAGAAAGATTCTAGTACTTTGTAGGGACAGAAACGGGACTGTTTTGAAACTATTGTTTTTGCAGACTGTATGTTTTGAAGTTTAAAGAACTATTGTGGGTTAAATATCAGTTAGACCCCATGCATTATCACATCCACAATAAAAATATTTTTGTTTTGTTTTGTTTCAATACGTAATAGCCATGTGGGCATCGATACACTATTGTCATCCTGAAAGTTGACAAAATTCTCTGTTAGCATATATATGTACTCAAAATCTACAGCCTTTCTCTTCTGGGAAAGTGGACTAAATTATGAATGACTCATCTTGCACTTGTGGGCGTGTCCAGACTATTTACCAATCAGATCTCTAGAATGGGAATGTCCCTCCCACTAATACCACTTGCCTTTGACTAACAATAGCAAATCCTTGTTAATTACAGTTATGTAATTCACATTTGTTTCACACAATTGTTTCTGTTTCAATATGAAATACAGTGCAGAAAATTGTGTTGAATCAAACGCTGTTGGTGCCAATTCATTTGGCGAACTGGAAGCTAGCTAATTAGGCAGTTACGACATGGGAAATCCTTGAAAATTATGAACCCCCCCCCCCCAAAAAAAACTATAAGGTCAAATAAAATATGATCAAGACTACATCACAAATGACTTAGAGATATGTCACCACTTGATGTCCAATGGATCCTGAAGCAAAACCATTTGAGAGCAGCTGATATGTAATTGCATTACTGTTCATGCATTTTTACATAAATGAGTCATAATTAAGCTCAAGATGCATGTAGCCTACAATTTTTTGGTTTTTGATCAATTGACTTCGTGAGAAGCTGTGGTGTGTGACAGAGCTGTGAAATATAGTTTGAGGAAAGGTTTGAGAAGATTAGTAGGCTCTCTGCTGAACATGTTCATGCAATACAGTTTAGCTGCCCTTGTGGCAAAAATATGTATGGAGATGTATTATTGTAAACCTTAAAATGGAAACTTGTGGTTTCTGAGATGAAGCTCTCATGGCCACAGTTTAGACCACTGTTAACTAGATTTGGAGATGACTTGGCCTTGACTTGGCAGGAGATGTTTTCACCCTCATTAGATTTTAGATCCAGATACTGAGAATCCACTGTGCCAAAATAATAGTGTTTAGAAGGTGAATTTTGATCAAATGTTACAGCTCTGGCCACAGCTTAAATGATGTGATTCATAACCCCCTTGGTAGGTCATTTTACTGCTTTCATTAACATGTGAAATCACACTGTAATTCACAAGGCTTTATGAAAATTGATGTTTGTTTAGCATTTCATTCCCCATTGGCTGCATGTCATAATATCTCTGAAATCATGTGGAACAGCTCCACGAGCCGCAATGGATTGGATGCAAGATTAAACCTCAAGGACTTCTGGACTGTCTAATTTTTTAAAAGGCACACTTAAGCAATGAGGGTAAGAACACTTTCACACTGGAGCTTTTTGTAAACAAGTATGTTTGATGCCAGAGATTGGTTTGTTTGATGCCAGAGATTTGTTTGTT